TTTTTTTTCTTCTTTTTTTTTTGAACACATCAACTCTATTCGTGCAAATAATATTCGATTATTGCTAAAGTAGCTTTTTTAATTATTAATTTCACGCTAAATAAAAGTGCGATTGTGCGTGATATTTTATAATAAAATATTTGGTTTGATTTTTAAATTTTCATTTTATATCTGCTTCATCTTTTGCTCGCGTTTATGTGACATTGTCCCCGTTTACTATTTATTTCGACATATCGAGAAGTAAGACCGTTTCTTTAACATATGTATGTATGTTTGTATTTGTGATTTTTATTTTTATTCTTTGACCTCTTAAGTCGCCTATGTTCTTCATATTCATAAATGTGTAGTAACCCAGCCAGCAAAAAATCCGAAAACCGATCCGAAAGCGGAAAAAAGTCGATGAATACCGGATTTTTGTCCGTTTACCGATTCCATTTCCGGATACTTTAATGATCCGTTTTCTCACTAAAGTTTTCGGCAGAAACGTATGTACAGAAAAGTACCGAAAATAGTGGTGAAAAGGATACGTTTCTGAAATTTATCTGATATAATTTATCGTTCAATACGCTTTCCTTCTGCACTTCACAGATACTTTTTCATGATTCAAAAGGCATAACATAAAATTAGGAAGCGCCTGACGGAATTCGAACCCGGCACCTTGTGGGAGCTAACAAATAGCGGCCAGTTTCTCTGCACGCCCAACCAGTGCCGACTACGCATGCATGCTTTCTTTTTCGAACGTTTTCCGGATACGAAAATTTGTGATAACTGTAGGAGTTTTGAGAATGCGTTTTCGGATACGACTAAATTGCACTGTTGGCAAAATTTTCGTTTATTTGCTGGCTGGGAAATGATGTTTGTCTGTTTAATTTGAATCTGCGACTAGTTGACTTGTTAGCGGTGCGTATTTGCATATGCGACGATTGAGACCGCGCGGTCGGTGTGAGCCGGCTTTTGATGTTCAATGGATATTTGTTTTTTTTTTTTGTTTTTATGTATTATTCTAGAGGTAACCATAAATTTTGGTGTTAAAAAGTATTGGAAATATACCAATTTACCTCATATTGTGCGGCTGTTTTAGTGGCGACGATCAGTCTTGACGTGCCGTTGAAGAAGAGCGGATTAAGAAACTCTAAAAGTTCTTGCTTTATTTCACAATTCTGCGAAATAAATCCTAATAAAGTAATGTGTACATTGGAACGTTTTTCTAGATTTAGTATACTTACATTTTGCACAACACATTTAATGTAATGAGCTAACGTATAAAATCTTAAATTTGTGTTACGATAAATGTGTGGTAGAATTTGGCGCGAAAGCTGGTGGACGAAACGATAAGGAGGTTTATTTTAAAGTCAGTGTCGTTGTAGAGCTAATTCGAAAGCTTCCTGATTTCTGTTTGATATAAAGTTACTTGTTACTTGTTATGTGCTTAAAGTAATTGAGAAAGTAAAAACGGAAACATTAAAAAAACATAATAAAATTTAACTCTTCAAGTGCTTGCTCTGCCGTAAGACATTATTTCTGTTTAGATGCATAGGGTTGTGAAGGTGTCATATCACTGCTTAATTTCCATCTAGGTGAGCTGCGTGGAAAGTGGGTATGTCACGAGAAATTTGCGGGGTGTGAGTGTAACTTTTTTTCCTAAGGCAGGAAATAGCACTGCCCGCAGGATTCCACACCCATTATCCGTTTGTTTTTATTCTTATTGATAATCCTTGAGAAGCTGATTGACATTTCTGAAGAAAAATCTTCCCGAACAAATATTTTTTATTGGATTGGTATGCTATCGGAGTCCCCAATATAATTTAAATTTTTGCGTAGAAAGATTTTTAACACCCTTATAAATATATGCCATCATAAGTTTTCGCAAACAAATCACCAAAAATTGTTGACTCTCACAAAGTAAAACAACTCGCCATAAAAAAATAGTTTAAATATAGTTCTTGAAAAACCACCTTTATTTGAAATATGTTTTTTTCTATATAGAGAATTAAACAAGGATTATAATGGTGTAATTTTAAATCCCTAATATACTGGTCTGCACTATGTAAATCAACTTCAAAAAGTTAAACTGTTTATAGCTAAGTTAGCATTAGGACAATTACGACCCTCTTATATGTAGAAATATTAAACCCGTTTTTTAGTTTTTAAAAAATATATGTATGTAGAAAAACGACTTTCAATTTTTTTATTTTCTCATGTTTTGAATATGATATACATATTTAAAAAAAATATAACACATTGAAATACTAATGCCTTGGAGTTAAGCAAAACATTTGCGTGCAGTAAAATGAGTTTTTTTCAACTTTGTTAAAAAAAATATATAAAAACAAAATCATTTTTAAGAAGTAGTTCTTTAAGCCTCTTAAGAATTTAGTAATCTTTCTATTAAAGAAAGGTATTGCCAATACGTAAAACATTGTAGACTGTAGACAATTTTGAATAGTAAATTCCGCGTTTGCACCACTGTGCGGCATTCTCTCGCCATTTCTCTGGATATGAGTGGATGTCCGGCACTGCATATTTGCTATGTGATATCATAATCAAGCCAATTATGTTGCATGGAATGATTGTCTAGTGGAATTCACTAGGAAAGTGATAATGGAATCAGTGCAGCGCTTCGGCTGACTCCTACTATAACGCGTAGCGTCATATCTGACATTCTGACATTCGGCTATCTTATAGAAATTTTTCAAGGCAAATTTTCAAATAAGATAGTGTCAAATCTTAATTCTCGCTCTTACCTGGTATAATTTCCCCATGTACATATTGTGGATATGACTGCCGTGGTCTGCTGCGTCATTCGGATAAGAAGCACTGGTTCCTCCGGTTTCTACTTCAAGCCGGCGCATAGTGTGGCAAATGAGGGTGGTTACGGACAAATGAGTCTCATATTTTATACGATTTCATTTCTTTCTTAGTAAGTCTCGTACAGGTAGGTCACTTATAAAGGAACGTTGACAGTCAAGCGGCATTGAAATTTTTTGCATCGCGCATCGATAGCACCGCTGAGTTACGTCAACACCGCTCTTTGCGGGCTTCCTAGACATAGTAATAACGAATAGTAATAAAATAATCAATGAATTGGCAAGTAACGGTTCAGAAATCCAGTGAGTAAAATACCAAGTTTAGTATTTAGAAATGCACTAAATATCCCAGTACTTTCCACGAATGAGTCAGTAGCCAGCATGAAGACAGATGGCATGATACCCTGCGTGCAAACAATTCTAAGGTCACATATCCTCAGCATTTCTCTCTTTATTTTTGCCACTTGTTATTAGATATAAACAAGTTGGTAGCAATTAATTTGATTGGGACTGACAAGTATTACATATCGATGGCTGAGTGGAAGATCGACCTATCTCGGCAGGCAGTTCAAAAACATTCTATCTCAAAAAACTTTTGAAGAACGCCCTATTTCAGAATTCGTTTCAAAAACGCCCTATCTCANGATATGTATTTATGTCACCACTTTGAATTGTTGGAGCAAGTATCATTTAACATAATTTCTAGAGATTTTTTCTCTGAGCAGCAATCCACGGGGAATCACAAACGTCATAGTAAATTAATTCTACCGTAGTTCGCCGTATATCCCTAAGTCTAAAAAATTTTTGTAACACAATTTAAATTTTTTTATGTCGGACGTATGGTTGGCCTTTTTACATTTTTCGTTATATCTTCGCCATTTGTAGTCGGATCTTAAAGTATGATTTATCGATGTGTTTGTCTTTTGTTCTAAAAGCTCACTGCCTTCAAGTACAATGTTCTAGTACTTGTCTATTAGATCTCCCTATAAATCAAAGCTCTCCAAAAATCATTAAACTTTTGCTATGGAAGTATTTTTTTTTATCAAAATACTGTTTTTGTTGCCGAATGTACATACATAAGTGTTACCTTGAAATGTGAATTAGCGACCTCTAGGTTCGGCAAAAAAATAATAATTTTCGAAATTGCCTTGCAATTCTTCTTCTTTTTTCGTATATCTCTTGACCTCTCAATAAAACCTGTGAGTTTTTCGAAGTTTTCAAGGATTTTTCTCGTTTAAAGGAGCCCCAAAAATGGTTTTGAAATTATATCAATATATTATATTTGATTCAAATAAATGAATGTTTGGTGCTTAAACATTTTCTACGTGTTTGGTCTAGCTTCGATTCGTATTCTGGTTCTTGATGTTGTGACACAAATGGAAAAATCTACGTACACTTTTAATCCACCTCTGAGGAAGCTTTTTTCTGGCAGAATTACATTCGGAGGTTTGCCAGTGTCTGTCGAGTGGTGACCGCTATTTCAGCGGCAGTACCCACGACGGCAAGAGCACTACTCAAATTCGAAAGAAGTCAGAAAAAATGCAATAAATTTTAAAAATAATTTAAAAAAAGGCCAAACGTGAATTTTTACTGATTTTTTTTGTCTTACTTTTGATCTAGAAAAAACTTTGAACTTGTTTTGATTTGTTGTTAATAATTATTGTTATAATTATTGTAATTTTTGGTTATGACTTCATACTAATAAACGCATTTTAACTGTATGAAAACTATGTAAAATAAAACCTGTTAACCCGGTTTTTTCTTAAATTCCAAATCCGGAACCGTTTTTTTTTCAAACTGCAATGTTTAGAATAACTCATGAAACCGGTTTTGGAGAAAAGGCGAATAATCGAACACACTACTAATGGCGTAATACATACTAATTATCCATGCTTATTGAGATTTTTTATATTAAAACCGAATTTTTGCAATAGCTTTGCTAAAGCCAAAGAGAACAAATTTTAAATAACAGTAATTAACTTGCTTATTTACTTGTATAATTAACTGTATTTGTCTTATCAATTCTTAAGTGCCCGAACTCTAGACAAATATTTCCCAATCAAATATTTACTTAAGTAAGTAACTTTGCTACACAAAAATGTTCTAGGCACTTTTTCCACGTCCAAATAGCACACATTTACGCTAATTAATACTTGCATCTAACAGCATTTCTATGTTTTTGCTTGCAGATATTTCCGTTGTACACAAAACATCCTGGAAGTGCCCCAACGATAAACAGTTCACAGAATATTGGAATTTTCAAAATGTCGGCCATTAGAATGAATGAAACAAATACAATTGTCGATCGGATGGTCAACTTTCTGGTGGAGCATGAGGATATGCGCACAAAGAGTTGGTTCCTCTCGAACGCGCCCGGTCCACTAGTTATGATATTGGCTGGCTATTTGTATTTTTGCTTGTATGCGGGTCCGCGTTACATGCGCGATCGTAAACCATTCGAGCTGAAGAATACGCTGTTGGTGTACAATGCGGTGCAAGTGATATTCAGTTGGGTGCTCTTCTATGAGGTATGTATGTATAAGTGCATGCATGTGCAGGTGATGAGCGGTGTATTTTAATCGGATTTAAATTATCAATTGATTCAAGTATATAAAAATTTAAATATTTTTTCTTTGCCAGGGTTACAAGGGTGGCTGGGGTGGCCACTACAATTTCCGTTGCCAACCTGTGAACTACGCGACAGATCCCATTTCTATGCGGGTAGGCAATATTAAATTTTTTTTGTCCCCAGCTGGAAATATGTAAAATCTTTCAAGGTATGAAACAGGCAATTCTTCAGTAATAAAAACGGTTAAGAACTCAGGAATTATAAGTACTAGTAGATCAACAAATGGCTTTGACATTACAATCAGAAGTTCTTGAGTTGAATATAGACCTCGGTTCGCTTGAATAGTTAGGCAATTTCATTATTTGGGATCCGATGCATGTATTCACTTCGCGCTAGAAAATGTCTCAATATTTTTCAGAACTTTTTTTATTTCTATATATACTACATATGTAGAACGCTATATTCGAAATGGCCTGCAGTACGCATACCGGGGATGCCAACTCTCTTAGGGCTAATTCCCCGAAACTTCTGAAAAAATTCGCCTATTTTCAATGAAATTCCCCCAAAATGAATTTTGCTACATATTTCAAGCACTTCATGCTAATTGATTTATGAAAAAAAACAACAAATATCATTAATTGCGATATATAATATAAAAAACGGATTCGATGGCTTGGTGGGGAAAACCAAATCGAGAAAAGAGAGCGTCAACCGAAAACACTAAAAAGTGAAAAACGCCGCTATCAGTGTTGCAAGAAGATTTTGAGGCTTTTAGCTAAATTCTTCAAAAAAAAAAATAACCCAAAAATTTGTTTTATGGTCAAAGAAGAAAACTCCTCACGAAGAATGGAAGCGAGAACGAAATTTGTCCATAGCGCTGCATTAATTTGAAATGTTTGAATTTTAATATTAATAACAAAAAAATAAATAACAAATTTAAGATATTTATGACAATGTATGCCATTTTCTCAAGCAGGTTTAAAATTTATCCGCTCTGCAAACAATTTTTTTTTTCAGAACAAAATTAAATATTTAAAGGGCAGATAAATTTTAAAATCTACTTCAGAAAACCGACCTAAGACAACGAAAGACTTAACACGCGAACTTTCCTTGCAAAGAAAATGAAAAATTCTTCACCCTAATGTTAAACGATCTTGAAGTTGAAATGATCCAGCTGTCCTCTGGCTTAGAATTAACAATCGTAGTTCTCACAAAAACGATTTTCCTTGCTCGCAGACGCCTTTCTCATTCTTAACTTTAAATTGTTTGTCCCCGTTTGCTTACTTTGCGGGAACGTTCTTGACATTACGTTTTATTTTCCTGCAGAACTAAACCAAAACCGAAACGTTCTCGGTCCATGAACGTAAATGTCACAGAAAAATGTAAAAAGGCGATCCGTAGGTCCNATTTGTAAGTTTCGTTGATTTCACAGTGACATAATTTTAAGATTTCTGTTGAGGACCTGAAAAAAACTATGCCCAAACGGTAGTACCCATGCGTGATAGTTAAACCCTAAGAGGATTTTGCACTAGCTTATCATAATTTGCTTTCGATTATAAGAGTTCCTGATATCCGAGTTCTGGATTATCGGAGGTGACGGCGCACAGATATCGCTGTGAGGAAAGTAAGCTTTCAAAAAAAAAGGACACAACAATTCAGGATTTTTTTAATAAATAACTTTTTTTATATAGGACAAAATTTTAACTAACCACAATAATTCCAGTTTGCGTAGTTCTTATTGTTAGCTTCTTTTCCGGATTTTCCGAGTTTTCTATTATCTGAGGTGGCTTTTGTAACATAAAACATAAATATAATTCTTCTCTTCAAAAGCCCATGTATATAAAACTTAGCCAGCAATTTTTACGTAGAGCATTTAAAGCCCATTGCCTATTGTGAATTAAGTGTACCATTCACAGAGACTTCACTAAATTCACTTTGCTAAATATAGAAAAAGCTGTAGACTAAGGAAGGACTAACGCCGTACGTATGCAACCAAATGCTGGACGCTAGATCGATATAACTTGAGGAGGCTTTGTTGTAGTGGACGGCACCGTGGAAATCTACATAATTATCTTAAGCCTTTGGAAGATATGTATAAAATGTGTGACAGCCCTCTATATAACGGGGGCGCTAAGGACAACTTCAACGGCTGCTGCAGAAAAGATACTGAACTTGCTGTCAATAGAGCTTACGTTAGAGAATCACGACATTCAATATCTTAACTGATGGTTCAAAGAAAACGATTTAGAAAATGCGAACGAAATAAGAGCTGGAGCCTACAGCAAATAGATTGGTTGTTGATAGTCAAGCAGCGATAAAAGTAATCAACACATTACATATTTTGTTCAAAAATTATCTGAGAAACACGGAGGGCAGTGGAGATACTAGCCACGAATAAGCAGATGAATATCATTGGGAGATTCAATTACACACATAATCAGGTTACATTAGTCTAAAAATTAATTTCATTTAATTTTGTCGAGACCAATACACAACATCTGAAATAGTCCTGAACAGTTCTCAGAGGGGTCGAAAAAGTCGTGAATTTTTCCTGAAGTGATCTCGAAAAAATCTTGAAACGATCCCGAAATGGTCGCTGATTAGCGCAAAATAATTTCTAACGAGTGCCAAAATGAAATGCTTATAAACTAGCCTGAAAATTATCCTGCATTATTCCCAAAATGGTGCCAGACTGGTGTATGTTCCTGAAATGGTCCTGAACTAGCCCCCAAACGGTCGAGAACTAGGCTATTAAATAGTCGGGAACTAGGCTCGAAACGGTTACGAAAGGATCCTGAAGCAGGCCGGAATACTCCTAAACTAGTACCAAAAAGACACCGAACTATGTTAATTTGTATACACAAGCAGCAAATACAGATTTTCTGCTGAGTTACAAAAAGAGCTTAAGGGTTTCCAGAATTAGAAGGATAAGGTTACATAAACAGATGAAACAGTTTAGCTACCTGGACAACTATGAAGGTGATATGTAAACCAAGCGAAGATTGTTGTATAGAATGACAAGTGGTTTACTGAAAGGTCACTGTGTACTTGTCGCACACACATTCGAAATAGGAATCACTGCTAGCGAAAATGGAAATAGGAAATGCTTTAGCTACAGTTAAGAAAACTCTGGCACCATCAAGACTGAAATACGTAGAGGATGCTGACATAGGGAGTCTGCCTGCTGCCCGACATTGCCATACCTCACACCGCCAGCGCCACAAAGAAGTTGCTGTACTCAATTGGATGGGATCGCCTTCATTTTACCCTCTGTTCATTTTGTTGTAATAATATTTTTATTACAAACATACATTTTTTTGAAAAAAATTTAATACACTTAGATCTTTGTGGTCTTTTATTTGAAGTAGTTTTTTTTTCAAAATGGTTGCTATAGGGTGTAAATATTCTAGCGTTTGGGCATAGTTTGATGAAGCGTTCTAAAATTTCTATTCCACAGTGTTATAAACAAAACAGCGCAGATATTAATATATATTTTTTTAACTTGCAGATACCACCACACCCTGATGCCTGTTTGCGCCTTCATCGGAGTTAAATATTTTGCCGGTTAGTTCGTTTGTCGAATAAACAATTTTTGATAATTTATGCATATCTATTGGTATCGTTTAACCATTTTCTAATTGCCCTTTCTAGGTGGTCACGGCACGCTGCTCGGCTTCATTAATTCCTTCATTCACATCATTATGTACGCCTATTACCTGCTCTCTGCCATGGGCCCCAAAGTACAAAAGTATTTGTGGTGGAAGAAGTACATTACCATTTTGCAAATTGTAAGTGGTTGCAAGCTTTTTGATTAATTTTAATGGAAATTTCAAGTGCAATACGAATTTTTCTTCTCACAGATCCAATTCCTCATAATTTTCGTGCACACTCTCCAAATTCAATTCCAGCCAAATTGTAATTTCTCAAAACCGATTGCTGCCCTGCTCACCTTCAATGCCGGCCTATTCACCTACATGTTTAGCTCCTTCTACATTAAGAATTACAATAAGGAGGCTGCTGCGGTGAAGGCCAAGACTGAAGCGGCTGTTAAACAGGATTGAGATGCTGCTACTCTCGACCTCTTTTTGCCATTCTACATTCGACTCTTTACTGCTTAGCACCTTTCTGTGCGCTGTTAATTTAAATATGAGTGCAATTAAATGCTCATAAAATTGCGAACAAACGAAGCCACCACTCCTTAGAGAAGTCCTTTTTATATTATTATTGGGCGCACCTCAATCGCTGGTAAATATGTATGTAAATGTTTTGCTACTTGGCGTGCTGGCGGCATTTGAGGAACAGATGCAATATAATTTAGCTATAAAATTCTTGTGAAAATTAATTTAAAGGAAATATTGGGGGGTAGTTAGTTAGGGGATAATAGCCAGTGGGTTGGAAGATTCATACTTGTACGCTTGTACATAAGTACATATTTAGTTAATAGTAAATTAATTTTAATTTTAATTATAAGTATGAAATCTAATTTCAATTGTGTCTTAAAACAATGTAGGTAATTAGTAAAACATATACAAGTTATATTGTACATACAAGAAAATTATAAAACGATCATTGCGCTTTTTTTTGCCCATAAGCCAATTTTCTCTTTCTAGTTCGAAACCAAGTGCCGATCGAATCGAATAATTTGAAAAGTGCAATTGTACCAAATATTATGTTTTAGTTTAACTATTATTTAATATTTAATGATTATCGCTTGCTTTCTATTTCTTCCTAATAATACACACGCAACACATAAAAAAAAAAATTATTTTTGGATTATTCCAAAAATTTAGTGTATGTATGTGTGAAGAGTAAAAAAATATATATTATAAGACCATGCATACTTAGCTACAGCTTTTTTAGTAGACTATGTAGATGTTTATAATAAAACTTAATTTTTTTACCATGCTTGTATATACGAAGGTACATTTTTATTAAAATCGAATAAATGTTTTGAGACAATTTTATGTGTTGCATTTATTGTTTAGTTTTCATTTGCGAAAGAAACTTTGAGATGCCATGTAAAGGAGCGCAAATTCCGTG